GGGGGCAGATAAGGCAGCTTTGAAATTCTGCTCGCTAGCTGAGTTATGAACACATCAAATGCAAGCTGGGCTTCCGCCAAAATGCACCTTCTCTACAAACTGTGCGCCTCCTAGGGCTGATACCATCGGCACGCTGCTTCTCTAGTGATAAAGCACAGCGGCACCTCCCAGTGCCATCGGCAAAGCAGGCTCTTGAGAACAAAAGCCGACCGATATTGTCAATGTCTTACATACAAAACAGGGATCGCAGCCAAAAATACCACGCGCTTGCCCAATGTGTTTGCTCAGAGGAGCTCAAAGCGCTCGGCAAACCTCAACGGAGCCTTGCTGCCTGGGTAAAGATTGTTGTGTCCATTTTACAGATTGGTGACCTGAGCCATGGAGACTGAGACCTGCTCAAGCCATTATGTGAGTCAGTGGCCAAGTAAGGAATAGAACCCAGGAGTCCTGACTGCCAGTCCCCAGCTCTAGCTGCTAGAGACCACTTCCTTACCAGAACTGGGAACAGAATCCCGGCATCTTGGCTCCCAGGTCTTCTGCTCCAGTCACTAGAAACCACTTCTCTCCCAACGCTAAGAATAGAACTCAGAAGTCCTGACTCCCACTCCACCACCCCACTTGCCCTGTTTTGCCTTTTCTGCTATTTATTATTATTTTTAAATAGGGAAGCCCTGTCTCTTCCCAGCGTGAGCTCTGGGCATTATCTCCTGGAGGGGAGGAGCTTGTGAAATACCAGCACTTTTCTGGGCTCACCACTGTCTCTATTAATTTAAAAGCTACAGCATGCAGTAAAACCAGAGGTTGCAAAGGCCCATTATAGAGATGGCCTGAACCAAAACCTCAGCTCCAAACACCCCCGCACTTTGGAAATATCTTAATCCAGATTAGAATTTTGGAGGTTTAATTCTCCTCTGCTTTGGAGCTTGTGTTGTCACTTGCTCTTGGGCAAAGTGGTTGTATCCTGCAACCAGATCCACACGGCTGCATTTTATACCCACACTGAATTCCCTTTATCCGGGTGTAAATGAGGAGAGGAAATGCAAGGCCCCGGAGAATCGGAGATCTTTATCATCACACCTCTGGATTGACACATCCACAAACTTCATCTGCTGCAGCAGTTGTCCTACAATAATGAGGCAGGTCCAGGCCCTTACTAAACTGAGCTCTAAAGACAGCAACTCCACTAGACTGAGCAAAGGCCAATGTCCTAAAGTGACTGGGGATTTTGAGTGCCTCAATTTCCAGGGACCAAACTTGAGATGCTTTTAAAGAGCCTGGATTTCAGACGACAGGTGCTCAGCACTTCCCCAAAATCAAGCCCCCTTAAGGTCTGGGCACTGAAAAATGGAGGCATCCCAAATCACCAGTCACTTTGGAAAAACCTTGGGTCTGGTGTTTAGGGATTCCCCCCCCACCGATTCAAAATGGCATTTGAAACATGGCAAGGGAGATTACCATAAGCGTATGCATGTTTCTTACACTAACGTGTAGCAGGCAGCATTTGGGTTGTAGTCAAGAGTGCTTTGATATGGGAATAAGTAAAGATCGCACTTTTTGGAGGCATGACTCCAAAGAGATGCTCTGGACTGGTGGTACTGCTGTGTGGAATAAAGGATCTAACTCGTTACGGGGATTGGTGCTCTGTTTTTCTGTCAAGTGTCCATCACACATAATAGTGAAGTGAAATGCCTGGATTTAGTTTGGGGCAGATCAGTTTCACCAATGCACGGTGCACCCAGAGCTCTTTGGGAGATACTTGGCCTTCTGTTAGGCACATGCTCTGTGTTATATACATCCTACTTATTGACAGCTGATTATGAATAGAGCTGAATGAATAACTGACTGTTTTGGTTCAGTGTGTGAACCAAAAAAATCTGAAAGAAAATTCACATTGGGTTAAACTAAATGCTTTTTTTTTTAATCTAAAATGAATGGATGGGTTTTTACCTTTCTGTTATTTAAAATAAATCTACCTAAATATCTGCTCCAAATGTCAAAACAAAAAAGGCAAAACATCTCATTTAGAAAATAAAACAAAATTCTGTATGCAGTGTTGTTGTACCGTGTCGGTCACAGGATATTAGAGACAAGGTGGGTGAGGGAACATTTTTTATAGGACCAACTTCTCTCTCATCAGCAGAAGCTGGTCCAATTAAAGATATTACCTCACCCACCTTGTCTCTCTAAAACAAAATTTGTTGACTTTAAAAATATATATATATATTGGGCCAATATATTCACCGAATTTCAGCCAAATTCACAAATAGTTTTGGTCGAACAGAAACTGTATTTTTTGGAGAATAACCTATTTGTCTGAAAAACTTTGCCCGGCTCTAAATTATGAGCTTCAGAGCTGGAGAGAAACAGCACAAGCCCTTGTAACTAGGGCATGGTCTCAAGACCTAGCTCAAGGCAAAACTCCTACTGACTTCAGGACTCTGATGAGCAGAACAAGGACTGAGTAGAGACTTCCTTGATGCTGGGGGAGGGGAAAGGCTGCTCCCTCTGTATGGTCGGCTGACTAGGAGATTCAGTCAAGTTTTTTCAAAGAGTCTGACCACACTAGGCCTAGAGTCACACTGTATGAGCAGGCTTTGGAAAGGAACTCACATGTGAGACTCTTCCCTGACGCATATTGGCCCCAACAACCCTGCTAAGTGTCCCCATTGAAGAATGCAATGGCACCGAATATGAGGAGGCAGGGCATAAAGCAATGGGAGGAAACTAAGCAAAGGAAAATGTGTGCCTGATCATCAGCATAAAATGTCCTAAAACATTTGCCACTACCTGCAAAGTAACTGTACATGAAAATGGGCACTTGGGTGCCCTGTATTGCATATACCAAGACCCCCTACTGGAGGAGAAAGTATGGTCCCATACTCAGAGAGCATGGGACTGGGAAACAGGAGATCTTGATTCTGTACCCAGCTCTGCCCCTAATTCAGCAACATACTTTTGTGCCTCAGTTTCCTCCATTAAATGGGGATCGGCACTAGTGCATAGGGCCATCAGGATTCCAAAGCACTTTGAGATTCCCGTGGTGAAAAGCTCTATTAGAAGTGGAAAGAATTCATTGGCTTGGGGGGGAAATAATACCAGGGCTGTTTGTGGGCCTAGTTTGTGGAAACAAATGAAGTGTATATTATGGAATGGAGCCATGATGAATGTACTGTGCTATGTCGCACGGCCCCTCCCACAGCTGTGTGTGTTTCACCAGTCACGTCCTATAGGGCAGTATCTAACACAGGAATGCAATACGATTCAATTGGGTTTTTTTGCACAGGTCACTTAAAAGACTCCCATTCAGTCGGCTGGGTTGATCTCTCTCTAAAATTAAAGCTATAGCAACAAACCACTTCCTTTTTACACATAGCTCCAAAAATTATCTTCCCACCTCCCCCTCATCCCCCGCCCCCCACAAGAAATAAAATTATCAGCCCTAAGAGGAACTGTGTGAGTGGGAGGAGATTTCTGGGAGGGTCTCACCTCAGGATCTGCTCCGAGCCTCTTGATCTTTATCTGCACATGCTATTTCTGCCTCAAGACTCCTCCAGCGCACAGCTGCCACCAGTAGGTGCATGAGGGGTCACTATTCATGAGTGGAAGGGGAACTGACGAAAGATACTGTGCTGCACCTCTTTGGCTCTTTGATCTTGGTTTCAAATAAGTTCTGAAGTCCAATCAACTTCCATTCTCCTCTACTTTTCCCCCCCCTCAAACTGAAAAATCAGTACAAAGTTCAATAACAAAAATCTGCTCGCCTAGATTCCGAAACAAATAAGGGCAAACTGTTCCAATATTGCAGGGGAAAAAGCCAGCCATCAACACACTTGAAAAGCTCTCCACGGATTGTGTGCATGCCCAGAGTCCCATTCTGCCAGCCTTGCTCACCGTGAGTAAGGACAGACGGAGGCTAGTATTGCTCTTGGAGTACTGTGCAACATAGCGTCAGAAAGAAGCACTTCACGAATGTCTATGGCCTAATTCTCCATTGCCATACCCCTGTTCAAAGCGAATGGCAAGTGCTAATATTCGGCGTATATGACAGCATAAAGGGTAAAGCCATGAAAAATCAGGCTCTTTACACCTCCATCACTCTCCATTCCCAAGGCTACAAAAGCCTTTCGCAAACTATACTCAGACGGTGCAGTGCTTCTCAAAATGCAGCCACCTCTGGGGTGGAGGGCTGCAGAGATGTTGACGGCGCACTGCATAACAGCACGGAGAGGAGAAAAATTGTCCTAGATGATGATGAAAACACCTACCTTGAAAAGTAAGGGGTCTGGCTCTCCAGTGCCTTGCACATGGTTTATTCACAGCTGTGCAAAGTAAGGGTAAATCGCTATTGGACTAAGCAAGGTGGCAATTTTGCACCCGCTTTGCACAGGTATAAATGAGACCAAGACCGGCTGGCTCAAGAGACATGATGGGATAACAGGGACTCTCACCTCTAGGTCACTGCTAGGAATCTGCTCTCACAGCAATGCCCAAAAGCTATTTCCTTCCAATAGATAGTTGGAGACTGAAGTGAGACAGCCGGTGAATGGGCCCGTGTCACGACATTGGAACCCAGACTCTGGGCACCTCCAAAGTTATGGGGTATTTGGACCAGCCTCCTCCAGAGATAGGGAACTGAGGTGAAACGCAGACCCTGATGCAGGTTCTCAGAGTGCAGGGCTGAGCTCTTCTGTAGTTGGTGCCTCTCAGTCCTGCTCCTAAAGGGAGGTGTCCACATCCCAAACGCCATCACTAGGACTGGTGTGCCGGAGGCCACTCGAAGGGACCCATTCATCTCTTCCCCTATAAACCCTGCCCCACTCAGTCAGGGCGGAGACCCGTAAATGAGGGGGGATGGTTTGCTCACTGCACCTGTCCTACGCATCGAGGCCTCCAGTCTCCAAGTCAACCAATCTCACCCCTTTCACCAGCCCCAGATTCACTTCTGAACGGAACCCAAGAGCCGTCTCAGAAAGGCTCTGCCCCGGGGCAGATGACCCTACCTGTGTAGCCAGCGAGGGCAGCAGCAGGAATGACTGGCTTGTCCTTGTTCATGTCGGCCCGGTCTCGAACATAGTCCTTGAAGGTGCCTTTGGGCTTGTGATTGGGTAGCGCCGCGGGGTAGTCCTCAGAATCAAAGCTGTCATAGGAGGGGACGCGCTGAAGGCTCTGGAAAGACGACTGGCTGTTCCAGGACTGCGTCAGGCGGTCGCAGCTGTCGTAGCTCTCTATGCTCTCGAAGGAGTCCTGGCCCCCTAGTTTACCTGGCAAGCAGAAGGGAGAATGAGAATCACCCGGCCTGCAAGGAGGCAATTTAAATGAGAAGCACAAATCAAGGTCAGGAGAAGGACAACGCCCCAGGTGTGCACTCCATCTGCCAGCCAGGCAGACGGCAGAAGGGGCCACAGCCCTGCTAACTACATTCAGCTCCAAGCCAGACAAGACACTGCTGTTCCAGTGCACCCTTCACCTCAGAGAAAACGTTAATCAAGCATTGACCTCCATGAGGCTGGACAGTATATTTACTGTCCCCATGTTACAGAGCAGGGCAATCTGAGGCACACAGAAGTGACAGGACTCACTTCAGGTCACAGAGTGAGTCACTTGTAGAGTGTCAGGAAAAGAACCCAGGAATCCGGACTCCGAGTCTCCACCCCAGATGCAGAGAAATACCCTGAACTGTATTTGTAGCCCCCTAAATTTGACCCACCTTCTGAAAGGGAATTGCTCTGGGGCTTGAAGAGAAATACACCACTAAAAACAGACAGGCAGGACCACGTGTTCCGAAGACAGGTGCGGAAGCTACAGCCACAATGCAAAGGAAAATCCTAGAGCCACACCTGCAGGACCTGGGTTTGAATCCTCTGACCTGATCATTTGTACAACACCATAGGCTTGCATGACACTTTACAAAGCCCTGGAGAGCTTCCATACAAACAGGTACGTCCATAGGGTAAATCAGGCAGTTGCACATTCCAAATGGTATAAGCGGAGGTACGATTCATGCCCCGTGCAGAAGGCTAGCACAAGGTCCTGCTGAGCTTCATTCTCAGTTTCTTTGCTACAAGACTCTATTGCAGGAAATCATAACAGAAGCTCTTAGCACCCCAATGCCCCCAAGCACCAGTAAACCTGGGGAGTGGGGGGGAGAGATGTGGGTTGAGTATTCGAGCAACTATTTTTTCTCCTCCACGAAGGTGCTCACATCTGGGCTACACGTATGCTACTGATTGTTTTCTATACAGAGAGCAGTATATTAGGGGCCAGATCCTCGGCCAGAGTAAAGCAGGGAGCTCTGCTGAATTCAATGGAGCTATGTTGATTTACACCAGCTCAGGATTGGGTTCCCTGTATTTCAAAAAAAAGTGCAGGGGGCTAAAAAGCGACCCCCAAATGCCTTCAATTGCACTCTCTGGGTTCCCTTACTCTGCCTGTTGCTCAACCTCTTTACTGACAAGCCAAGAGCGTAACAGGATCATTCAAGTTCATTAATTTCCCAAACTAGGCTAAAAACAGCTGCTAGGATTGTGTAAGAGCTCCTGAAGAAATTTCCACTGGCTGAGCTGCCTGCGGCTCAGACCCAGATAGTAAATCTCACAGGGGAAAGGAGGGCGGAATGGAGCTGGCACGCTCACCCAAATATTTGTTGTGTTCTAGTTTAAACAGCTCTTGCAGCAAGAAAAGCTTAACTAATGTGGGTGTGAAAGCCTATTGACATTTTCTTCAATGACAAATGGGCTGAGTTTTAGGACTTTAGCTCCCATTCATCCTAATGGTGTGTTGACTCTGAAACCTAATGATGATAAGCTATATGTCAATATTAATTATTTAACTTCTGTCTTGAAGGATTTCAAATTTGAGGTTCCAGTTCAGGTCCATCTCTAATTTACATTATTTTACTACACGTGACGCAGGTAACGATGACTATAATTAAGATTGGCCAACACTTTCTATTTATAATTCCTTGTTTTTGGTTGCTTAGAACTTGCCAAATTTCATCCATTTGGACTGAAAATGTCCATACTTCAGGATGATATATTTTGGGGTGAGAAAATTTCAGCAAAAATGATTCAGCATTTTCTCGGAACAGGGTTAGAGAAAAAGTGTTTTGCCCATGTTAAAAAATTCATACAACCATTTTCTTGAAATGCTCTAGCCCCTCTGTGCTTTGTAGCAAGAACATGAAATTTGGCAGGGAGGTCAGGCCTTTTGCCATCTATTGAAAATCCACCTCCATTAGGTCAAGTTATGAGCCTTTGAAAAAAATCCCAGTTTGCACATGCTCAATAGAGACTTGTAGTTTGGCAGCTAAATGCTCCAAAGATTCTATCTGCCCTGAGCATGCTAAGATGGGGGGAGGGGGGGAAAGTCTGTGATCATGTAATTAAAGACTGTATCATAATGCATATGCACAAGAGGGCCAAATTCAGGTTGCACGGGTAGCCTTAATTCTGGCATTCCTTAGTTTTTAGGGGCTTGAATTTGCAACCTTAACACTCTTCTAATGTGGTTTTTGCATGGAATTTATAAGAAGCTTATAACAAACTTGGGGGCCGGATACCCATTTATATTAAGTCCCCTTTTACACCACTCTGGCAGTATTAAGAGACCTTATCCCTAATATATTTACACCAACATGAGGGTGCATTTACACAATCAGAGCAGGATTTCGTGTCAACCAGAATCCGGACCATTGTGTTTCTTCAAATCACAAATGAAATGTTAAGGGGTTCACTGATAGAGGCCTCTCTCTCTGATCCTCTTGCCCTAGCATTAGGTTGAGAGGCTGTTATGTCAGAAGAACGCCCTTTCTTTGAGGCTTGTGGAGCCTGTAGGCCGGTATAAGATTGAGTCATGATAGTGAAAGTCTTTCAATAAGAATTACCAAGATGCCTGCTTTTAACGTTCAAGAGAAGAGAAGGAACCAAATTAGAAGCTGATCGTCAAAAACAGCCCTTGCAAAAGGGCTTGCCTAAAATTGCAACACAGCTGCCCCTGGGCTCGCCACATCTGCCTAATTTGCCTGTGTTATATAAATGTTTAACCAGCAGAAGTCGTTTTTTAAAAAAAATAACCCTCCCAAACAACCTTTCCCCAGCTTGGAAATTAAAAAAAGAAAAGAAAAGAAGAGAATGAAAATAGCCCCGTTAGTGTAACATACATGTGATTCCAATGAGTGGAGGCATGATGCTGGGCTTGGCAAAGCAGCTTAATTTTTCACAAACATCCAACCCGTGGCATTTTTCAGTTCTTGTTCCACATTAAAAAATTAAACAGATGTAACATTGGCCATCAAGACCAACTCGTATCGACACTGGCATTCTGATAGGTATTGGGAGATACCTGGGTTCTGCTCAGTGTGCGATCTCTGGTAGGTCATGTTGCTGCTGTGTGCCTCAGTTTCTCCATCTGTAAAATCAGGATAATGATCCCCTCCTTTGCAAATGGCTTTGTGCTCTATGGATGACGCCCACTCCTTGCATAGGACTTAGATCCTCAGCTGGTGTAAATCAGTGTAGCTGCTTTGACTTCAGTGAAGCCAAATCCACTCAAACCAGTGCAGGATCTGGTTCTGTGTGTTTAGAGTTAAGTAATGTTACCCTAGAAAAGCATTTGGTCTTGGTATTTAGGACACAGGAGTTCCGGGTTCTATTCCTGGCTCTGCTATTGACCTCATGTTGAGCTGAGACAGGCCAGTACCCTTCTCTCGGACTCAGTTAACCCACCTCTAAAATGGGGATAACACCACTCACCTCACACTGGAGCAGTGAAGATCAGTTCATTGGGCCAGATTCTCAGCTAGTGTAAACTGCCGTAGTGCCATTGAAATCAAAGGGAAGGCAGTGCTACCTAGCAGATAGAGGACTGGACTGGAACTCAGAAGACCTACGTTCCATTCCTGGCCCTGCCGCTGGCCTGCTGGGTGACTTAGAGCAAGTCACCTCACCGCTCTGTGCCTCAGTTTCCCCATCTGTAAAATGATATGGGCCTCCTTTGTAAAGCGCTTTGAGATCTACTATTCATTATTATTATTTTACACCTGCTGAGGCTTTGGGACGTTATATGTAACCCTTGGCTAACACCGTGGAACTAGTTATGGGGCACTGATGGTTTCTTTGCATGTGACTCTTGAAAAGGAACATCCAGGGTAGAGGGGACCCTCGTGCGTGTACAGGGGAAGTGAGGGAAACACCCAGGGTGCCGGGAGGCAGTGGAAAACCAAGCAGAGACTTTGGAGATGCCAGGCCCTTACCTCGACTGGTGCGCCCCATGCACATGTTATCTGGCGTTACAACTTCCTGCTTGATCGTGAAGTAGTCTGTCTGCAGGGAGTCCGTCTGGACAGGGTCACGCAGGATGACCGACGGGTAGTCATTCTCATACTTGAGGGAGAAGAGCTCCTCTGAGCTGATTGGATGGAGGGTCTGGTAGGACTCTGTGATAAAGCTGGGCTCAGAGAACTCTGACGGAGGCACGCACTGTGCATGCTCAATGCCATAACCTGCAGGTGGAACAATTGGGTGGGTTAGTGTTAGCTATTGACCAAAAAGACAATGACTCAAAGCTAAACAGACCACTGCTGTTTCTACCTCTCGTCTCCTGTAACATGCTGATATTGTGAGATCTTTGGGTCTATTTTTAATAAGTATTATCTGGATGTACAGCACCTACCACAAAGGCACCCTGATTTCAGTTGGGGCTGCTAAGTGCTACCACAGTACAAATAATAAATAGTAATAAGAAGAACTCCTGTTGTCTTCGGTGGACACCAGATTGGGCCATAAGCAAATAGGAGCAACCTCAGAGTTGTTATGGGAGGAAGGGTTGGATAAACCACCAGGGGGAGGCTCCCAGCAGTTTCCCCAGGAAATGGAGTATGAAAGGAGGAGGAGGGTCCTTGACATCACAGTGGAGCTGGATGCCAATTGACATGGCAGACATGGCGGTTGCTCACCTTCACAATCACTAGGAGAGAATGTGTGTCATCATTAGGTTCCAGAGTAAACATCGCGTTAGGATAATTGGGAGCAGTGGGACTCACGCAAGGGTTGCACTGCTGTTCTATGCAGCATGCTGGAGTAGGATTAGCACTTCCTTCCTTCCTTCCTAAAAAGCAGTGGCAGCCCGGAGAATCCCCCCTGTAGAATGACATCTCCCTGCTCTACACTTATTCTCCTTCAACCACTTCTAGATGAAATCTGCTGTTTACACACCAAAAACAAGATTTCCTCTCACTGCTGGCCCAGCAAGCTTCACCTGGCATCAAAGCCAAGCGAGTTGCTTTCTGCTCCAACCCTCCCCGCTGACCAGAGAGAGTGTGGAATCCAAATTTAGCTGATAATTCTGTCAATAGTGCATAAAGCACAATAGAACCTTCCCTTGCTGTATGGGCTCTGAAGGGCTGATGCTGGGGGTTGGATCATGCCAGATCAAGGACCCAGCACTTTCCCTGGATGACTGCCATCTGGTGCTCCAGAATCTAAACCTTCATGTAAATGATTTTAAGGTCCACATTTTCAAAAATGCCTGGATTTTGAGGTAGCTGATTTGAGACACTGTGGGCCTGTTTTTCAGAAATGCTAAGAACCCACAACTCTACTCAAAATCAGTGGGAGGGCAGATGCTCTGCAAGTCAGGTCCTAAGGGTCTCAGATTGATTGCCCACAATCCGGGGAACAAAAAGTGGAGACCACTTCTAAAAATGTAAGCTTAAGTCTTTAGACTGATGAAGTGATGTCTGTCTGAGAATGCAGACCGTCTGAAGCAGCAGCTTGAAAATGTGCACTTCTCCGGGTCATCCTCAGTGAACGTTAACTCTGAAGCCTAATGATGACCCCCAACATTCACTATCTTTCTGATGATCAAAGGACACAAGACAGAAGAGGGATAATCATACTATGAAAGCTGCACATTCTGCCATGACTGGGGCAGTAATCTGTCAGCGCACAAATCAGGTGGGGCTCAGAAGACTGAGAAAAGAGATAACCCTAGAACAACTGTCACTTTTCTAACCACTTCCAGCTATTTTAAATAGGCTAGTGGCCAGCTCACTGTAAGACAGATGCAATCACGTTAATACGCTGGACTATTTGAAGGAAAAGAGGAGCAGCTTTGGGAAAAAGGGGCTCAGACTTACTAATGAAGTAGTCCGATGTATAGCGGGATTCTGGGTATGCGGGGTTCACTCCGTTAGCTGAGTATGGCTTTATCTCATCTAAAAGAAGAAAGGGAAGTTAAAGAAACAAGCTCATAGGAATCTCACCTTTGCTGAAACTCTGTTACATATGGAAGTCAGAATTTCCAAAAGCATTCAGGTTCCATTTAACCTGGGATTTTCAAAGGCTCAGAAGCAAGTTAGGTGTCCAAATCCCTTTGAACTGAGTGCCTAACTCCCTTAGATTCTTTGGAAAAATCTAGCCATAGGCCCCAATGAGTAGCCTGATTTCTGAGAGTGCAGAATAGGATTCCGATCTCAGCCGGAAGCTCTAGGCACTAGTGAAATGTTATTAATTACTTGGTGAAAGCCCGTGTAGTTGTACAGGTGATATGGATCACGTGTAAAAGAGCTGAAGACTGAACCTGGTGATATTCAGAACAAAAAGAGCTCTCAGCCAGGCTTCACACTGGCTCAACATTTTAAGCGTCAGAGCGACAATCGAGTCATCTTGCTATATAGATCATTATTATATGTTAATTGTTCTGTTTCCATTCATTTTGGCTCCTTTTCATTCTTTGGCCTTTTTTTTTTTAAATGAAAAGCAGGGACACATTGTTCCAGAAAATTTTCCTCAGTTTTCAACCAGCTTTAGTTGTGTGTGTATGCCCAAACACGCCTGTGTTTTGGGCATACACCCCTCTGCTGCTCCTCCCCTGCTCATGCGCAAAGCAAAAAGTGCAAGGCACAGAAGACGCTGTTCCTACATTCATTAGACATTGCTGCAGAGCCACCAACTTACTCCTACTGAATACTCTTCGGCATCTGTAAGGTAGCACCTCAGAGTTACAAACACCAGAGTCACGAACTGACCGTCAACCACACATCTCATTTGGAAATAGAAGTACGCAATCAGGCAGCAGCAGAGACAAAACAAAAGACAAAAAAAAAGAGGCAAATACAGTACAGTACTGTGTTAAAGCTAAACTCCTAAAACAATAAAGGGAAAGCAGCATTTTCCTTCTGCATAGTAAAGTTTCAAAGCTGTATTAAGTCAATGTCCAGTTGTAAACTTTTGAAAGAACCACCATAATGGTTTGTTCAGAGTTACAAACAGTTCAGAGTTAAGAACAACCTTCATTCCCAAGGGGTTCGGAACTCGGAGGTTCTACTGTATGTACAGCGCCTAGCACAATGGGGCCTGATCTTGGAAATTAATTAATAATAACTGTACACTCAATACACATCTCATTTCCCCCCTTTCCATCCATTACATCAGTGCTTTCCCATGCGGAAGCTGATTTTGTCTTCCCAGTTTGGAAGCAGCACAGTGTCTGCTTTGGCTCGTGTTGTTCCCACCTTGCTCCGTGCAGGAGCAGCTGCAGAGTGCCCAGCACATGGCCAGACACAGGGCAATGGGACATTACAAAGGGCAACAAAACTAAAAGCACGAATTGCTTTCCCTGTGTTTATTTCTGCTGAGGCTGGAGAAAAACTAACCAAAGATAATGCACGTTCACTCGAAGGAGGCTAATTTTGGCCTCCTCTCCTGGGACTGCAGGGTGGAAAATAGTCTCAAACAAAGGAAGGTTTTGTGGAGAGAGATCTAATCCCGAGTGTGCTTCCTCCCCCCCCCCCCCACGGAGTCTGCCAAGCGGCAGGGTGGGTGACCACAGGGAAAGGGTGGGACTAGGTTAAAAAGGGCAACTTTCAGCTAGGTTTACAGTCATGCAGAGGGCACTGATGGCTGCTGGTAAATGGGAGTTATTTTAGGAAGAAATCTGGAAAAATACGACGGCAAACACCCAAATACATGAAGGAAAAGTCGCCCAGCTGCTGCCATTTTTATACCTTGTGCAGCCTGTGGTAGGTGAGTCACTCGCTCTGAAAGAGCTAACAGGAGAGGCATGTTAATAAGAGGGATCGGGAGGTTGCCGTGTGTCCTCATGTGACCTAATGCTTCTGGGTGGTTTAGTGAAGGTGAAGCTACGTGCTTTGAGTCTCACAGACAAGGCCCCAGTCCTGCTCCTGCTGACGAGAATGGCCAGCTACTCTTGGGAACGAAGGGCTGATGATTAAGACACTAGATTAAGGTTCAAGAAACGTTCGCTCAATTCCCAGCTCGGCCAATGCACAATGGGTAATTTGCTCCATCGCTCTGTGCCTCAGTTTCCCATCTGTAAAAAGCAACAGAGGGTCCTGTGGCACCTTTAAGACTAACAGAAGTATTGGGAGCATAAGCTTTCGTGGCTAAGAACCTCACTTCTTCAGATGCAAGTAATGGAAATCTCCAGAGGCAGGTATAAATCAGTATGGAGATAACGAGGTTAGTTCAATCAGGGAGGGTGAGGTGCACAGATAGAAAAATCTGTCTTGTCCATTTACATTTTAAAATCTAGCAGAGATTTTGTGTTTGTACAGCACCTAGCACAATGGAGCCTTGATTTGGGGCAGAGCTTCTGGGTGGCATTATAATGTGAATAATAAGGATCCTTCCCATTGACTGTATTAGGAGCAGGAGCAGGCCCTGTCTTCCCAGTTTGGAAGTCACAAGGTTTCTGCCCTTTTTATTATTCAGAAGTACTTTTCAGCCAAGGATCACAAAGTGATTTACAGACATTCTCCTGGGCCTCTGAGAGGCAGGCAGATAACCATGTTTCACAGACAGGGACTGAGGCATGAAGGCTCTATATGATTTGCACAAGGTGACACAGCATGTGTGGAGAACAGCTGGAAATAGAACCCAGGCATCCTGAGTCGCAGGCCCTTGCCCAGAGGATAAGATGGACAGAACTGCATCTTTATTCTTGTCCTCACACTCTTGCAGGAGAAACAGCCAGTGCTGAATCCAGGGCCTGGCCTGTAAAAAGGCTTTTAGTTTCTTCTAAGGGCATCTATCTACCTAGGTAATTACATGACCTTCATTACCGCAGCGTCTGAGCACCTACACATATCATAGATTTAACCTCACAACCCCTCCCCGTGAGATAGGAAAGCATTCTCCATATTTTACAGCTGGGGAAACTGAGGCATAGAATGCCATATCCTCAAAGGTATTTAGGCACCTAGCTCCCACCGAAATCAATTCCCAGCTCTGGTATAGATTCCGTTGGGTATGTGACTTCGGCCCAGATGCTCAAAGGGAAATTAATGGGAGTTAGACACTTAAATACCTTTTAGGATCTCAGCCCAAGTGACTTGCCCCAGGGAGTTGGTAGAAGAGCTGAGAATCGAAACCACATCTCCTGCGTGCCAACTGAGTGCCTTAACCACAAGGCCATCCCGCTACCGTGGGTGACTTTACCAAGCGCTCAATAAAAACTAACGGAAAAAGAAAAGAACTGAAAAGATGCTGGAGCCAAACAAGGAGCAGAAAAACACAGGTTGCTGCAGCAACCATGCACACCCATGTTTACCTTCGCAAACCACTGGTGACAGTAAAATTAGCAATCAGTAATTAACCTCCATTTGACAATGCGTTTCTTGGACAGCACAAAATCCCCCTCCTCTCCAAGCCACCGAAGTCAGATTACTGGCAAGGGCAGGCGGTGGATGCAATGGATATGGATACATAATGCAGTGGAAGCCTGGGCTATGGAACAGCCCTAGGAAGAACTAGATGCTGTATCACGGGGTCGAGAGTGGGCTACAGCCTGTTTTAATTTGCTCAGTGCCCCTGCGTTTTCTGGGCCCTTCGCCGTGTATTAGCAATTCCTTGGTAGCACAGTAGGGAGAACGTCGCAAGGTAGTCTCAAGATCTCCACTGATTCAAACTGGGGCAGCTGCTCCTTTAAATTCTCAGTGAAGGAGCAGTATCTTCACGGGGTCCTAAAACCCACCATCTTTCCCCACTTGCTCCAGACCTTTAGCCCCCATTCAGCAAAGCAATTCAGCACATGCCAGATCCAACGCCCATTCCATTGACTTCCGTGGGCCATAAATCTTGAGGAAATTAATGAGATTACAGCAGATGCTTAGAGTCAAGCATGTGCTTTAGTACTTTCCTGAATTGGATGTGCCTGCTGCCACTATTCGTGTCTCAATTACACAGCCCAGGCTCCTCATCAACCATTTAGGTAGCTCTGTCACTCCAAGATAGCAGATCAGACACTTTGCATTTCTATAGCACTCTCCCCTCCAGAGATCTTTTATGAAAATCAAGCTCCACAAAAGGTCGTATGCACGGATAGACAGAGATCACTTCACCCACCCCCTCTGAAACGCAGCCACCTCTGGTGTGGAACACCAGCTGCTGTTTAACCACACCCAAGGAACAAAGAAAAATTGTTTCCACTTACAACTGGAAAGTTTGGGCGTGATTCAAAAGTGTTGGCCTAGCTGCTCCCATTGAAGTCAATGATTAAAATTCCCAGTGGAACCAGTTAGGCCAAGGGTGAATGACTTGGGGGGAAAAAAAAAACCCTTTCATTTCTAGGAATGCAGAATGTCCCTGCCTTGCCCTGGAATTCAGCCAAGAAGCTGGCGTTAACACCCTTCCTCTTTCAAAGAGTGCCAGGAGCTCTTCACTGACCACAACTGGTCAGGCCTCTCTGCTTTATGTTTTATCGGAAAGACGACATCTCCAGCAGCACCCTGTGCTGACTCGGGTAGGTCTACATTTGAGCAGGGCGGTGTGATTCCCAGCGTGCACAGACGTACCCAGGCTAGAGCCTCAAAACAGCCATGCATCCACAGCGGCACGGGTCACGGCCCATCTGAGTATGTACCGGGGTCCAGCAGGATTGTACTCAGGGTGACTAATGCCCGTGCTGCCATGGACATGCTGCTATTTTTAGGCACTCAGTCGAGCTGAGCTAGCCTGGGTATGTGCATACGAGCTGGGAATCACCCCTCCCTACTCAAAGGTAGACAGACCTTCAGAGGAAAGGGCATCAGCTGCATAGGGTTGCCAAGTTTCTAATCGCACAAAACCGAACACCCTGACCTGCCCCTTCTCAAGGCCCCGCCCCTTTTCCGAGGCCCCACCCCCACTGGCTTCATCCCCCCTCCCTCCTTCGCTCGCTCTCCCCCACTCTCACTCACTTTCACCAGGCTGGGGTGGGGGTTGTGATGTGGGCGGGGGGGTGAGAGCTCTGGCTGGGGGTGCGGGCTCTGGAGTGAGATGGGGATGAGGTGTTTGGGGTGCAGGAGAGGGCTCCGGGGCTGGGGCAGGGAGTTGGGGGGCCGGGGGCATATGGGCTCTGGGCTGGGGGTGTGGGCTCAGGGTGGGACCAGAAATGAGGGGTTCAGGGTGCAGGACAGGGCTCCAGGATGGGGCAGGGTGTTGGGGTGCAGGGGTTTGAGGACTCTGGCTGGGGGGTGTGGGCTCTGAAGTGGGGCCAGGGATGAGGGGTTTGGGGTGCAGGAGGGGGCTCAGTGCTGGGGCAGGGTGTTGTGGGGGTGCGAGCTCTGGGAGGAAGTTTGGGTGTGGGAGGGGACGCCGGGCTTGGGCAGGGGGTTGGGGTGCAGGAGAGGGTCTGGAGTGCGGGGTCTCGGTGGCACTTACCGTGGCTCCCAGGAAGTGGCTGGCAGGTCCCTGCAGCCCCTAGGCGTAGGGGCAGCCAGGGAGGTTCCGCGTGCTGCCCTCACACCCGCAGGCACTGTCCCCGCAGCTCCCATTGGTCGCAGTTCCCGGCCAATGGTAGCTGCGGAGTCGGCACTCAAGGCAGAGGCAGCGCACTGAGCCTCTCTGGCCGCCCATGCACCTAGGGCTGCAAGGACCTGGTGGCCACTTCTGGGAGCCGTGCGGAGGCAGGGACCAGACATGGCAACCCTAGCTGCATAGAACCACAAACACCACTTCCGGCGACACCTGTCTCTTCCTTAGAGGTCACCCATCCAAATATGGCCTCACTAGATTCTGTTTAGCCGAAAAGTCTGGAGGCATCACTGTGCCAGAGGTTGGTAAATTACTGAATCCTACTGTAGTCAGACCTGAAGTCGGGCTCTTGAAGGGCCTGAGATTCAGTTTGCCTATTTAATACATGCATCCAAGGCCCCTTGGTGTAGCCCATGTGGTGACCCACTCAGTTACCTTTCTGTAGGATCTCCAGATGTTCCCAGAGAATATCTCCCACGAAGTCAGGCGCTAGCTCGAGGAAGCAGTCCTTGCCCAGAGCGCAGAGGGCAGCCCCATTCATGCAGAACTTCTGGAAATCCACATCCTTCAGACTGAACTCATTCACAGCCCACATCACCCAGTCCCGTACATGAGTCTCCGTCCACTGCTGGGGGTCTGCACCAAGGGGTCACGGGAGAGAGCCATTAATAATACTTCTCAGGAAGTTAATAGTCAGGGATCTACAGTGGTCACTTCACCCGCCCTCTGAAATGCAGCTGCTTCTAGTGTGGAACACAGCAGCTGTTCGATTACCATGTGTTACAGATACACTACATCAATGGGGACCAAAATATCAGTAATCCCTACAACTATACAAACTGGGGCAGTGCCCCACAGATCCCACCTTTGGGTTGACATAAGTATAACGTACAATGGTGGGGAACATAATCAGTTTAGCTTCATCCTGTAGGGCCGAGTGTTACTTTTGTCTGTCACTGCAGAGCCTTTCTCTGCTCCTAACCCTGGCTTGAGACAAAGTTTATAACAGCCCATGTTCTCCCTACGGGCATCAGTCTTCCAGTATCTTTTTTTTTTTTCATTCAAACCACAAGCACCTTGCAGGTTATGCCAAAGGACACCTGACACGTCTGCCCATAGTAAAATTTAAAGGAGCTGAAAATCTCCCATGACACAATATTCAGAGGTAGAGGGTCCCTATGCTGCCTGGAGGGGGAACTCAATTAAAGGTGTATTGCTCACTGCGGTAGATGAGAGCAAAGGTTGTCTCAGCTTCTGAATGGACAGAGATCACATAAGTCAATCTGTCAAGCAATGGAGGAAGATATCGCCTGTGTATTCCTCCAGCCAGAGAAGCCAGGGATCAAGGTGATGGCAAGAGAGATGGAATGGAAAGGAACAAGAGGTTTGGAGAAGAGGATATTTCAGATGAAGAAATGCCTCTGGTTTATCACGGTTTTGCCTGTTGCACAGGGCTCTGCCCATTGGGCACTACTGTGCCGTACCTTTGGGGATTCCCAGACGCTGTTGCTCTTTCGTGAAGCCGCTGAAGGTGGCCTTCAGCGCCTGGGACATCATTTCTTTACTGCTCGGGGTTAGCAAAGGCACATCTGCACATTCCATATCTGAAAGAAGCAGAGGAAGAGAGAAATAAACAACTCACCGAATCTCATGCCCCACTAAGGCAGAGGATAACGGAGTTTGGAGCCACAGGAATTATACATCCAGAACTGAATCAGAAAAATAAGTGAGCCTAACAACATGAATTTAAACCTCCTCCCAGCTGCCTTATAACTTCGCCCACCAACTCCCCAGCAGGATAGCATGTGACAACATATCACATCAATGCAGCACAGGTTGGAAGTGGTAGTTTTAACCTGGGGTCATGCCACTGTTTCAAGGATGTTCTTGGGTAAGGGACACTGCTGAGTTAGAAACAATGGGCCTGATTCTCTTTTCAGTTATCCTGGTGTAAATCAGGAGAATCTCCTTCACTGACGTCAATGGAGTTATACCAATGCAAAAGCACATCATGATACTGACTTTCTTTGCGAAGTGCTTCGAGATCTACTGGTGAAAAGCACTAGGCAAGAGCTAGATTTATTATTATTAAGATGGGGGAAAGTCAGACCTTAGTGTTTTTTAAACAGAAAACCACAAATCTATTATCTACACTATAATTATACCTTAAAATTGTTTACTACACATGATTATTAAAAGACCTATAGGGTCTGCTCCAAAGCCCATTGAAATCAATGCAAAGTCTCCCATTGACTTCACTCAGCTTTGGGAAATTCCTTTAGGGCCTGATCCTGAAAGATGCTGAGCGCCAGCACATCCCATTGAAGTCAGTAGAAACTGTAGGTTTCCCACATGAATAGTCCTATTGATTACAACCAGATTGTTCAGATCCTTAAAAGAGACACATGTGCTTCAGTGCTTTGCTGGACCGGGGTCTTTACATAGTACTGTAATATTCTGATGTGGTGTAGCTGAGATAGAATTCCATTGGCGCACATGCATAGGGGAATCTCGAGGATGATAGACGCAGACACGCCCACTCTGGCTCTCTGATTTACAGGTTTTATGTAGTATAACATCACTCCACAAGGTCTAAGGGCTGGCCATGACTGAGCCATCACAGAATGAGCTGCTGTCTGTGAAACGCTTTGGTTGTATAGTAGCCATCAATCAGTTAAGCCTCACAAGCCCCCTGTGGAACCCGGTAGCATGAAAAAGGGGAAAATAGAGTTGGTTGAACACTTCAAAGTGCCCCAAAAGGTTTTGATTAGGTGAAAACTGAAGGGTGTGTGGGGGCGGAGGGGGGAGTATTACTTCCCCTGAGTTGGTTTGCCCCATGCCCAGCACTTCGTTCCCAGCCACAGATCCTAGTGAAAGAGAGAGAGAGGAGGAGGTGGAAGCACAGGGAATCTTGGAAAAAGTCCCTTTGTAACAAGATGCAGCGTGACGAAAACCCAGCAGAAAAGCCATTCAAGGAAGGAGGTGAACAAAGAGCTGGAAAATCCCGGATTAACACAGAGTTACATAACGCACAATCCATACAGTGAAGCAATTGCTGAGTCAGTCACTGAGCAATGCATGGCCACCCCCACCAGAGCCAATGACGTCAGCCCAGAAATTTGGACCTTGGAGTAAATCCTGGTGAGAAGCATTTATATGGCAAGAACTACTTCAGTTTTCAGGGTGGCTGCAATAAAATATATATACACCTCTACCCCGATATAAGGCTGTCCTCGGGAGCCAAAAAATCTTATCGTGTTATAGGTGAAACCGCGTTATATATTGAACTTGCTTTGATCGGCCGGAGTGCGCAGCCCCGCCCCGCCCCCCCACCCCCGCAGCACTGCTTTACCGCGTTATATCGGGTCGCGTTATATCGGGGTAGAGGTGTATATATATTTGTTCAAAAATCCCTATCCTCCCAATTAGAGATCTGACCCTTGAAGTGCTCATTTTTCAAACACACTCTTGAAATATAATGTTACTGCAGAAGAAAGTCATCATAAAATAATCGTCACCAAGCCCTTAACCCTGCTGTAGCACTGTAGGTCTCAAAGCATTTTATAGAAGCAGGTCAGGTAGATTTTACAAATGGGGAAACTGAGGTACAGAGTGGTGACATGACTTGCTTAAGGTCAGTGGCAGATGCAGGAGTTCATCTAAACATTTTTGTTTGAACGACAAAAAGTTTTTCAATAAAAGGGAAATTTTCACGGCAAAAAATTCCATTTCTGTAAAAAAAAACAGATTTTTTTTTTAAATGAATTTCTGGCTCTGGTTGCCAAAAACTAAAAATTTTAGCTCTCGTTGAAATCCCAGCCAGCTCTATTGAGGCCACGTCTACACTACCACTTAGGTCAGTAGAACTTATGTCAGCACAAGTTACACCGACCTCAGCACCAGTGTGGACAGCGCTATATCGGCAGAGCTTCTCCCACCAACATAGTTACCTCCATAGGCACCGACTTCTACTCACACCGGTGGGTGCTGACCTCCCTCTGCCCCCGGCTCCGCCCAGACTCCACCGCCCCTGCCCTGCCCCCATTTCAACCCCTTCCCCTGTTCCCCAATGTCCCCACCCCAACTCCGCCCCCTCCCCGCCCTTGGCCCAGCAACTTCTCCTGAGCGCACCATATTCCCGCTCCTCCCCCCTCCCTCCTGGAGCTTGCTATATCAGCGCTGGGAGGTAGATGGAGGAGCAGGGACGAGGCGCGCTCAGGGGAGGAGACGGAGGCAGCGGTGAGGTGGGGTGGGGAGGGGAGCTTGGCTGCCGGTGGGTGCAGAGCACCCACTAATTTTTCCCCGTGGGTGCTCCAGCCCTGGAGCATCCACGGATTCGGCACCTATGGCTACCACTGCTCATTGGAGGTGGATTAATTAAGTTGATGGGAGAGCTCTCTCCCATCAGGTTAGAGCAACTACACTAGAGACCTCACAGCAGTGCAGCGGCAGCTGTGCCTGTTGTGTGCCACAGGCCTTATTACCCTTTCAAAACGTGTGAGAATTTAGGCCCCAGGTCAGCAATGGACTTCACTTTCAGCATGTGCTGAAGTCCCCCTGACTTCCATGGGTAGGGTTACCATATTTCAGCAAGCAAAAAAGAGGACGGGAGGAGCCCCGCCCTAGCCCCGCCCCTGCCCCTCCCACTTCCCGCCCCCCCAGAACCCCCAACCCTCCCCCCGTTCCTTGTCCCCTGACTGCCCCCTCCTGGGACCCCTGCCCCTAACTGCCCCCCAGGACTCCACTCCCTATCTAAGCCTCCCTGCCTCTTGTCCCCTGACTGCCCCAACCTGGGACCCCTGCCCCTAACTGCCCCCCAGGACTCCACTCCCTATCTACGCGTCTCTGTGTCTTGTCCCCTGACTGCCCCAACCTGGGACCCCTGCCCC